GCCGAAAAAACATGTGCAAACATGTTTCGTAGGTGGAAAAGCCGAAAAAACATGTGCAAACATGTTTCGTAGGTGGATTACTGGCGGAAATCGAAAAAATATGCTCTGCATATTTCGTAGGTGGAAAAGACGAAATCGAAGCCGAAAAAAACACTGTTTTCGTAGGTGGAGATAGTAGTATGGGAACTTGTATTAACCAAATGTACTATTTTTTGACCTGACAAATACACATTCACGCCTCATCAAGATAAAGGTTATTGACCAAAACAGTATTAAAGAGGAACTCGAAAAGGGGTATTTATTGTTTCAAATAAAATATAAGATACATATATGCCAAACGTGTATTTTTTATGTGAAGATTACAATTTTATTAATATATATATTTTTTAACATATAATCGAGAATTAGTTAATTGGCCGGCCAAAATAACAATGGATAGAAGTATGGGGCAAGAACAAAGAGGGAGGAATAAGCCGGGATCCTAGGCCCCTTTACATGTAGTAAAGTAATGGTGTTCCTTTCCCCGCTTCACACTAGCTATCACCATTTTCATTATCGTTATTATTATCTAAAATTATATTAATACCACTACTTAAAAAAATTATTGTTTCTACTACCACTACTAATAATGGCGGAACTATCTTTTTTCTGGTTTTCTTTTCTACCTAAGTCTCGATTTTATCTAACGATGTTTTTTGTGTAGATTTTTGGTGCTGATAGAAATTTTGCAGAGCAACGGCTCGTGATTTATCATTGTCCCCTCCTCCTTTGTCACCAAAGCCTGTTACGCTAATGAGTGGCTTCGAGAGATACACCATGTGATATAATGCAAGTGCACCTAGCTTCATTGATATTGATGAATACTGGGCTTCTGTGTGAAAAAATGCAAAGAAGGAGATAGATAGGCGGTGATCGAAAGAGATGCTCGTGGGTCGATTGTTCCTAAGATTTCTCGACAAGATCTCAATGATGCGTGAGATCTGAATAACCGAATCAGACTCTCCCAACCCAAAAAAAGTCAAACCAAGATACCTGACAA